TGTATAAGTATAAGTGCAAGTATTTTAACTGGTAGTATAGTTTAACCCCAGAAACACGCCTGAGGTTTTTTCATGAAAAAGCTTTTTTTTAAAATTCGAAATTTTTTGAAAATATTTTCGAAATTTTTTTAGTTTTTGGTTAAAAACATAATTTCTTGATAATAGGGCAACATAGATATTAGATTAAATTTACAAGAATAAAAATCCAGAAATGATCCAGTGGTTCTTAAAATTTTAGCACATTTTTTATGGAAAATTTCAAAGTAAAATAACTCCGTTATTTTTGACTTATTTGAAAGACGATAAAGAGAAAATATGTTTTTTTTATCGAGATCTATCACCCCTTAAAATACTTGCACTTATTTCTGGGACACCCTGTATAACTTTAGAAGTCTCAGGGCTTGAGCCCCCCCAAAAGTCGGTGTCTGGTTGCGCCCCTGGGTACAAATACAAGTTTAAGTATAGGCTCAATGAGATTTGTTGCTTTTAATGATTGTCTTGGAGGAATCATCTAAACTAGCGATGGGAACTATCGAATGAATTAGACTATCGAATGGTTAATGAATGAATGATTTCAACTATCGAATGGTTTTATTCGAATAAAATCATTCATTCATTTGTATACTAAAGCATATGTGACAACCTCGCCGTGCGACTAAATGGTTATCGTTGAGCCACGTCTATCGAATGCTTTTGATAAATGAAATTTAGTATTCGTTTGATTTTTGTATGCGTCAGGTCATTATTAGTTCTTCCAAATTTTTATAACTTCGCCGTATAAATACTGTGGTATTTTTGCGTTTATTAAAATAGTTAAAATACTAAAATAGTAGTTATTTTTTAATTTTATTTATTGACGATTATGTGCATGTGCAGGTGGTCAAAATTTTTCCGAAAATTTGTGTGGTTTTCCGTAGTCCGATCTTTCAATTATTTAATTTTATATGGTATATGGTCTATTTTTTAATGGGAAATTTTGAGAAGTAGCAATTTTTAAGAGAGATGAGATGAACTTACAATTAATTTTAAAAATACATATTTGTGTTTTAGATGTTTTAATAATATGAATTAGTTGAACTTAATAATCATATTTAAGTAATGTGGTTAAGTAAATGGTTATCGAACTCAAACTATGGGATGAGAAAATTAAAATGAAAGTTTTACACGTGCCAATTTTAAAAAAAAGTTAACGATGTTTGTATTTTGTTTATGCTAATTCTCTTACATGTAGTTTTTTGCGAAGAAATATTTCATTTATTTTTTAAAGTAAATGCCAGTAAAAGTAAATATAATTTTTAAATAGAAATATAAAGCACCTAATATAAATAATTTTGATTTCTAATTTTTTATTTATATTTTCGTTCCATTACACTGCATGCTTAGAAAATTAATAAATGTTTATATTTCATGATTTTAAAATTTGTTGTTAATATAATAAATTATTATTATTTAATAAACCAACGTTGCCAAAAATTTAGAGACTATATTATTTTTAAATAGGATCTAATATAAATAATTTTGACATCTAATTTGTTGTTTATATTTTGCTACTACTTAAAAAAATATTTATATTAAATCATTTTAAATTTTGTTGTTAATAGGTATAACAAATTATTACTGTTATTATTATTTATTAAACCAGTCTTTGCTTAAAAACATTAAAAATCATTTTCTTACATCCAAAATAACAAGTATTATTGCAGTGTAACAACAGAATATTAATAAAAAATGCAGAATATATAGACATACTATCCCTAACTAACTAAAGCCAAACAATAATATTCTTTGCTAATATCAACTAATACCAAAATATGGCAACAGCGCCCTTCATAATATATTTTCTGTGTAAATACTAGCACCTCAATAAAAAAAATAATGTGTCCTTATCTATATCTGACTCCGCAAAAAATCAAAGATGCCGGCTTCTTTCATAGCATTGCCACCGACCGCTGTCGGGTTTCTCGGAAAGAAACGCGACAACTAAAATTCAGTTAATATTTTATTATAATCGATCCTGACGAATAAATGAATTTCATAAATGAATGAATTTTATAAATGAATAGTTTTTGCTGCCGAATTACTAGAATACAATATTTCAAGGCAGATGACGGATCTGTTCGATAATTTTCATTCGAATAGTTTCCAACGAATGTTTTTTTACTAACTATCGAATTATTCAAATGAATTGCAACTATCGAATGTTTCGATAGTATTCATTCGATACTTTCCACTACTAATCTAAACTGATAAGTGTACTTTTCCACTAATTGCGAGGTTCCGAATGAAGCTTAAAGATTCATTCAGAACCTCGTAATTAGTGGAACAAATTAGTGGTTTCAATTAGCGTAGAAGTTTGTTCCTCTAATTTGAATGTAAGCATTCAGAACGTCAAAATTAGTGGTAGGAATTTTCAATTAGTGGAAAAAGTTAACAAACTCTTGACTTTTCCACTAGGTAATTATACTATAAAATATTATACTAAAATTTGCGGGGAATGTCATTTTGGACTTTGATTATCATCCGTCAAGAGAAAATGTTGTTAGAAACCAAAAGTTTATTGTTTTATAAGCTAAATATTAAGCTTTCTCTATGTATTCAATTGATTACTGCAAGCTGTTCCTATGACATTTTATTAATTTTAATTGTGGTTTTTAGACATTGAGAATGATGGTAAACTAAAAAGTATAAAGTGTAATTGAAACCACTAATTTATTCCACTAATTGCGAGGTTCTGAATGAAGCTTTAGTCTTTTTATATTATTTGGAACGTTTGAAATTGTTTAAAAAAATATTTGAGGCGTTTGAATGAAAACAGCATGTTCTATTCGGGGTAAAATTGACTTTTTTTGCTTCGCCTGTAATGTCAAATGCACAGCCTCGCTACAAGAAGTGTCATTTTTATTCCTAATAAAACAATATACTATTATTTATAGCATTTTATTATTTTTAATCAATTAAAAATAATTTTTAGTGGGCAGTAAACCTAAATAAACACCCTCGAGTCTCTTTACTATGCAATAAATTTTCTTTTTTGTTTGCTCCAAGGGAAATAAAATGAAAATAAGCTCACAATTATAGCGGATCGCTTCTAATATTCACGTGGCCAATCAAACCGACGGCGACGGCAAAGATGGAAACACAAAGCGGCGCAATTAAGTTATAATTAAATTTAATCGCGATTTTATATAAACTGTTTCCATTTAGTTTATAGATCTTTCGACCTATAATTGGGCCGTAAATTTGCCCCGTCACCCATTAACTGCCATTGTAAAGTGTTAATATAAGATCGGGGGGCAATTATCCTTAAGTATTATTTTGCCATTAATGTGACGATGGTTACTCTTGGATGAAGAGAAATGTCTAATATTAAACAGCTAGAACGTTTAAATATTGTTTTTTCCATAGCAACTGTTAAAATTGCCTTATATCTATCAAAAATAGTAGATAAAATAGAATTTTAACCGCAAGGGTAGATTAAATGATACTTTAACAGCGGGGATAGGTTAAAAGCTTTATTTCTTCTCACACGTTTTTTATATATATAAACGGAATTTGGTTTAAGTATTTAATACTCATTTCCAACTACAGCCTATTGCTGCCTTCCTGTTACCCTACGCCACACATCTCGATTTAGAGCGTCATCAGCTTCTAGGTTACGAGCTTCCATTGCTTCCGTAACCGTTCCGTTCCAGTATTTTCTAGGTCTACCTCTCTTTCTTCTGCCCTGGGGAGCCCATTGAAAAACTCGTTTTGGCCACCAACAAACTCGTTCTCCGGCATACGCAGAACATGTCCAAACCATTTTAAGCTGGATTTTTCGATTCGATCTAGTACTGTTTCCTCCGATGCATTCATGATACGCCTGACCTCGATGTTTGTCTTTTTTTCCATCCTAGATATACCTGCACTTCTTCTAAGAACTGACTCCACCAATGTTCTTCCAAGTCTCTTTTTAGTTGTTGCAGACACGTTTCGGTCCCACCAGAGGCTGTTAAGACATCCAATAACTTGTTTGCTCTTCTGAATTCGGGTTTGTATTTCTACTTTGCCCAAACCCTCGTTGTTGATAGTGGCACCCAGGTATTTAAATTTGTCTACTTGTTGAATCGGGACGTTATCATTAATGAAGACTTCAAAACAAGCGTTGGAATTGACAGCTAAGTATTCGGTCTTCTTTAGAGTAACCTGAAGTCCCCATTTGTTGTATTCTTGATAAAGCCTCTTAGTCATGAACTCTAGATCGTATGAGTCCTGCGCAATCACGACCTGATCGTCTGCAAAGCTCAGGGTAAATAGTGTGTTGTCCCCAATAGGTATTCCCATACCTTGACATTTTGTCTTCCATTCCCTTAGGGCTACTTCGACGTAAGCGTTGAAGATCAGAGGAGATAAGCTGCATCCTTGTCGCAACCCTTTTGTGGTGTTAATTGGATTAGATAGCCTGTGTCATAACTTAACGTACGATTCATTTTCTTTATATAGCTCTTTTATTATCTTAAGCAAAGGTCTATCTACTTCTAAGATATTCAAGACTTCCCATATCTTGCTGCGGGGAATAGAGTCGTACGCTTGCTCAAAATCAATAAATGCTAGATGGACTTCTTGATCTACTGCTATCTTTTTTCCATCACCTGCTGCAGGACAAAAAGGTTATTTGTGCAAGATTTCCCCGGTGTGAATCCGCTTTGGTCTTCCGAGATTTTGTCACCAATACTGTCCCTGAGCCTACCCTGTAACACCTTTCCAAAAAGTCTGTTGACCGAACTGTTAATGCTTAGGCCTCTATAACAAGTGGGGTCGTTACGATTTCCCTTTTTAAAGATGGACACTATGTGAGCCACTCGCCATTCTCGGGGTAGTTTACTTTGCAGGCAGCATTGGTTAAATAGCTCTGCCAGACGCCAGCGTAGTCTTTGGGTTCCACACTTTAACAATTCGGCTACAATATTACCAGGACCTGGTGACCGTCCATTTTTCATTCTTTTGAAACTTTGATGTACTTCTCTTTCGCTTATCATTAAAATGCCTGCAAGGTTGTTCTCATGTTCTACTGCTTGAAATTCTGGTCGGTTTTCTGTCAGTAATTCTGCATAGTAGTTGCATTTTTCTATATCCATTCTATTCAAGAGCTTGTCCGTTTGATTGGTTTTCATTTGTCGGATTGTTCTCCATACCTCAGTACTCCGTGCGCGCCCTATTAGGCTTTCCACTTGCTGACACCTTCTTTCCCAATTATCTGTTTTTCCTACCTTAATGGCGGCTCGTACCTCTCTATTTTTTTGCTTGTAATGACTCCAGTTAGTATCTGTTCGGTCTGAGAGCCATCTTTGATAGAATTTTTGTTTGTCATTGATTAAGGCCTTTATGCTGTCAGTTATCCAAGCTGGTTTATATTTTTTTTTCCTGCATGTTCTGTTGACCTAAAACTTCGAAAGCTACTTTTTTAATTAGGGTTTTTAGGTTGGTATACTCTAGTTCTACATCGTTACAGGCTTTCACTTCCTTTAGGGCTACATCTAATCTTCTCTGGTACAACCAATTAATACTGGCATCGTGTAGTAAATGAAGCTTGTACTTAATACGCTCAGATTCTTCAATTTCCAGTCCTTGTGATGTTGTGTATTCTATAGTTTTGGCTCTGCTCTGGAAAGGTACTACTAATTCTGCAACAACCAGACGGTGGTCGGATCCACAATTTGCTCCTCTCTTAACTCTGCAGTCGTTGAATTTGAGTTTCGATATTTGTTTAGCAATCATATAATCAATTATAGATTTTTGTTGCAGAGAGGACCTTTCTTGGGTGTATCGATGAATCAATTTGTGTGGGAAGAAGCCGTTAAGTATACGTAGACAATTCAGTTCGCAAAAGTCAATTAACCTCTCTCCAGAATCATTAAGGACGTTCTCACCGTGTTTTCCAACCACTTTACTATCTTCTTTCTTACCAATTCTTGCGTTAAGGTCTAATGGTAATTTGGTATTAAGACTTCCTGGCTCGGTTTTATTCGCACGTTTTTTATTGCACGTTTCGTTCGCACGTTTTTTAATTGTTTAAATTATACGAATATTCTCTTTGATTATAATTGGTTTGAAATAAATATGGCAGTGTCCTCCAATCAAAATGCGAGTTACTAACTCTAAATTCTAATTCTGAGCTGGCAAATGAGCTAGATGCTTTACCTAGACCGTTATTCAGATTAAAAAACTATTTTTTACGTGTAAAAAATAGTTTTTTAATTTATTACTTTTTCGACATTTCAAACTACGCTTTTTCAAACATGTTCTCTTTACACGAGGAAAAACTTTTTTATTATTGACATTTTGAGAAAAAGTTGAATTTTTTCAACCATACTCATTTTTTACCAGAAAAAAGCCCTTTGATTTTTAGGACTTCATCTAGAAAAAAGTCAACCATATTATCATTTTTTTTTTAAATTTTCTCTACAACGGTATGGAATTTTGGAAAAGTATAAATAGCATTAACCACTTTAGAAGAAGCAAATTTTTTTATGAAGAATGCATTTTTCTCAAAATATCAATAATAAAAAAGTTTTTCCTCGTGTAAAAACAATCCAGGGACATACTGTAGAATAAGGTTTGTTTATTTATGTTATATGTTATATGTTTGAGGTTTTTACACACAGAAACTTAAAATTTATTTAAAAGAGTTTTGTAACAAGACATAAATCCTTAGTTTAATTTTTAAACCATTTGAATCCTAACATCAAAGCATTACTATATTGAATACAATTCATATTGAAACAATTTTTGAATTTACACCATAGGTAACGTAAAATACGTCCCCTTCATTGCTTGATTCAAAGTTATCAATCAACCTGTTAAATTTAATAACCTTGGAATTATCTCCATCTAATCCGCAAAAGAGACCTTATAACACTATGCTAAAATTCCTTCGATCAATGCTTTTTACGCATACCCATTAAATATCCCGATTTTACAGCCGCCTGTCGTAAATTTTAATGCTACGTCTTTACGATTTTGAGCTTTATATTTACACCACCCTTACCTATGTTCTAAGGGTTGTTACCAATTTTTAATGTACTTCCTTGATGCCCGAACCTATTCCATATCGATCTTTGGGCGTCTTGGTTATTTCTTCCTTTTTCATAATCGTAAAACTCCTTCCTAGTTTTAATAGTCAAATTAAAGTATTTTTATGGTGTGTGGTCGTGTGGTGTAAACGAAATAAAGATAAAAGTATCGTTCGGTATATAGGTTATTGTATAGTTTGCTATAAAATTTTTCCCGGAAACAAGCAAGTATATAGGAGTCTCTCGTTTTACGCGGCATATTTATACGTGATTTCGCTTATACGCGTTTGTATTTTTGAGACCAGTGACTTAGTTTACGCGGGTCGCTTATACGCGGTTTTATTAATGCTCTATTAGATATCAACAGTAACATTCGATAAGAAACATACATACATACATACTGCCATTACTCGCTGACGAGTATTCGACACGCATCAGAAGATGGTCACGCAAGGCGTTTTCTTTCATGAGCTTTTCTGTGACTGAAAAGCCCGATACGTGATGTTATCTGCCTACCGCACTCCAGACATTCAAAAATCTCATTGCTTTGTTGCCTCTTTACTTTTTGGTTGTCGCTCTTAACTGAGTTTACAATTCTTCTCCATTGAGTTCTATTGTGAGCTTCTTCTTCCCACTCATTCTGCATGCTAATCCCGCTATTAAGGTAGGACAAACGGATATGTGGGAAAGAAGATGTCAGCAAGTGAAAAGTCTACTAGGGGGCGCACGGAGTACTGAGGTCTGGCGAACAATCCGCCAAATGAAAACCAATCAAACGGACAAGCTCTTGAATAAAATTGATATAGAAAACAGCAGGTGATAGAAAAAAAGATAGCAGTAGATCAAGAAGTCCATCTAGCGTTTATTGATTTGGAGAAAGCGTACGACTCTATTCCTCGCAACAAGATATGGGAAGCCTTGAATATTTTAGAAGTAGATAGACCCCTACTTAAGATAATAAAGGAGCTCTATAAAGAAAATAAAGCGTACGTTAAGATAGAACACAGGCTATCCAATCCAATAAATACCACAAAAGGGTTGCGACAAGGATGCAGCTTATCACCTCTAATCTTCAATGCTTACGTTGAAGTAGCCCTTAGGGAATGGAAGAGGAGATGCCAAGGCATGGGAATACCCATTGGGGAAGATACACTGTTTACTCTGAGCTTTGCAGACGATCAGGTCGTGATTGCGCAGGACTCTTTCGATCTGGAGTTCATGACTAAGAGGCTTTACCAAGAATATAACAAATGGGGACTTCAGGTTAGTCTAAAAATGACAGAATACTTAGCTGTCAATTCCAACGCTTGTTTTGTAGTCTTCATAGATGATAACGTCCAGATTCAACAAGTAGACAAATTTAAATACCTGGGTGCTACTATCAACAACGACGGTTTGGGCAAAGAAGAAATTCAAACCCGAATTCAGAAGAGCAAACAAGTTATTGGTTGTCTTAATAGCCTCTGGTGGGACCGAAACTTGTCTGCAACAACTAAAAAGAGACTTGGACGAACATTGGTGGAGTCAGTTCTTTGCTATGGTTCAGAGCTATGGTCTTTGAGTGCAGATACGAAGCGCAAAATCCAAGTTGTTGAAATGGACTATCTTAGAAGGAGCGCTAGGATGGAAAAAAAGACAAACATCGAGGTCAGGCGTATCATGAATGCATCGGAGGAGACAGTGCTAGATCGAATTGCAAAATCCAGCTTAAAGTGGTTTGGACATGTTCTACGTATGCCGGAGAAGAGGTGGTCAAGAAAAGTTTTTCAATGGACTCCCCAGGGTAGAAGAAAGAGAGGCAGACCTAGAAAATCCTGGAACGGAACGGTTAAGGAAGCAATGGAAGCTCGTAACCTAGAAGCTGATGACGCACTAAATCGAGACGTGTGACGTAGGGTAACGGGAAGGCAGCAATAGGCTGTAGCTGAAAAAAGTATCAAATACTTATCATTATATATATATATAAATCCCGTTATATATATATATATATATATATATATATATATATATATATATAAACAGGATTTATATATATATATATATATATATATATATATATATATATATATATATATAAACTAAACCGAGGTAATTGAGTTCCGCTACATATTCCAATAGTTCTTCTCCGATTTTTATAACATTGTTGTGATATTCTGGGGGAGAGCACATGATTTTAGTTTTATCGATGTTCAGCTTAAGTCCCAAAGCCTCGTATGCCCAGGTATATGTGTTCAACATTTCTTTCAATTGCTGTAACGTATTTGCAACTAGAGCACAGTCATCAGCGTATTGGAGTTCTGATGTGATGAATTTTGTACGTGTTTTTGCCTTGAGTCTTTTTATGTTAAACAGACCGCCGTCGTATCTGTATCTAATGCCCAATCCTCTCTCCTGCAGTTTGCTGTCCACTATAATGGAGAGCGCTGCCATGAATATGTTAAATAGGAGAGGCGCTAAGACACATCCCTGCCTAACTCCTGTATTTGTTAGGAATGGATCGCTCAGTGATCCATAATGTGACACTCTGGACTTGTTGTTATTATGGAGGCTTTTACATACTGAACTTTTTCATAATTGCCCAAAGTGCATCTCTGTTCACAGAGTCGAAGGCGTTTGTTAGGTCGATAAACGCAACGTAAAGTTTAGACTGTTGCTCTTTTACTTTTTCCTGTAGTTGGCGGATGGAGAATATGGAATCGACGGTGCCGCGGTTAGTGCGTAAACCCGTTTGCGATTCGGGGAGGATTTTTTCTATATGTGGGTGCAGGCGCACAGTGGGGTATTTGACACTGATAGTTGATCGAAATTTTTTTATGTAGACCTTATATAAATGATTGCTATTTTCAATTAAAGAGGAAATAATATGAACAAAATAAAGGATAATTCGTCGATTCTAAAAAAGAAAGAAAAATCACTGTTCCAGTGTTTCCACGGTCAGTTCCACTAATGCCAGTAGTAATATCGCAACTAATACTACTAATGCTACGACTGATCCGCGACCAATGCCCATACCACTAAAGCCGCTACTAATGTCAAATTGTGCTATGCTGCTAATGGCACTAATG